CATTCAGTCATAATCCAGCCTACCAAGAAAGTATCAAATGCCTTAAATCAATTAAACTACCGCATATTGGAGTGTCAGAACATCATATTCAAGATGTATACAAATTCAGGCTATAACTATAGTTATCTTTGTATATTTGTAATCTGAAATACATATATAGGTGCATATACAACAAAGTGAAAAAAATGACCAAATATGAAGTGAGACAGACCTCATAATACGTCCTCCATACATTTTATTGAACATTATTAATTAATAAACAACAGGTAATCAACAACAGTGCTTGATTTGATTAGATTATATATATGATTATATTTCTTCAGTGAAATTGTTGGTTATGCATTTCCTATAAATAATTCACAAATATTTATGAATGTCTGTGCTGCAGCAGCCATTATGCTCACCATGGTGGACCTGGGGATATATGAAATAGGTACCATCTCTGCCCTCAAATTTAATATGTACAGACTGCTGGACTGGACTAAAGGCCTGAGGAGAACTATAACAATCTCTTAGAGAGAACAGTGATTTAACAGGGATCAAAAGTGCCACCCACACAGCCTTCCTACTTACTGATCAAGAATGACAACAGATCTTAGCAAGTGCAAATCAACAAGAGGAATCCGATGGTGCTATTCAGTACTATGAAGCTTTTCATTTTGCCTCTTACTAAGATTTCAAACATATTCTTGCCTACACACAGAGAAACAAATACTGTGCAATCTCACTTATATGTGGAATCTGAAAAAGTTGAACTCGTAGAAGCAGAGAGTACAATGGCGGGTGCCATGGGCTTGGCATGGAGGAAATGGGAAATGATGGGCAAGGGTACAAACTTGCAGTTATAAGATGAACAAATTCTGGGGCTCTAATGTACATGATGGGTAGTGATGAATGTTTTAATTAATTTGGTTGTAGTTAGCTTTACACAATATATGCATGTATCTAATCATTACATTATGTACCTTGAATATATTTGACCTTTATTTCTCAATTAAATATTTTAAAATAAAATATATTTAAATATTAAAAATATTTTTGCAAATTTTATAAATACCCACATATCATTTCCATTTTCATTCAACCCGTAAATAAACTTCTCAGAAGTTTTACATTTCTGAAAACTTGAATTTGGGGCTCTTTGGATCAAAGCACTAGCGTCTCTCCTAAGCAACTCTATTTTGTGGTCTATCTTTATGTTTAGGATCCTAGCCTATGATTTAAAAAAAAAAACGAAAAAAAAAAAAGTCTCTTAAAGATGCCATTATTGTAGCTAATCACTAATTGTGTATCCTCCCCCTGCCCCGCCCAATTTATCCAGCAGCTTCTCTTTTTTTGTCAGATGTCAGATAGATTCCAAAAGCTAAATCTGTCCTCTGGGCAGGTGAACAATTATACCACCTATTGCCTCTTCTTCCTTTTGTTATTCTGTCACCAATTACGCTGTCCACAAGGGATTCTATCACATAAGGGTCTGTTACTAAGAGCTGAAATACATGTAACAGCTGTTTATTTGCAAATACAGAATGCGGTGAACACATGGTACAGAGAGATGCTTACTTTCTTATGCTTGTATCTTCTCATTTAGATTAGATTTTCCATGATCTTTTTCCTTTTAAAATACTGCACATATGGTAAATAGCTTTATTTTTCTTTTCTGCTAAACTCCACTGCAATAGAAATAACTAATACGTTAAAAAATATCTCAGATAACCAAGTCATCACAGCACAAAAAAACAGCTCAAGCTTTCAGTAGCAATAGAGGTAATATTAATCATAACAGCGGCAAAATGAGCAAGTGTTTAGTTGTTACTGTGTTCCAGGCATTTCCCTGGCAACTTTACAGATAGTGCCTCATTTATTATTCATAATTACCCCATTACATAGTAGATGTCATTATCTATGCTCTTCACAAGGTTACTAGGGGCATACCTTTAAAAGGTTACTAGGTTGCATACTTGTGGTTTAAATCCAAACCTGCTTGACTCTGCCTCCCTCCAACTTTACACTGAGACTGAGGGAGAAGAGTAAGGTGGGATGAAAGGTAGGGGAAAGGTAGACATAGAAGAGAGAGAAATAATGGAGCAAACCATCCTCAATCCTTTTTACATTTTTATTATACATTGACAAATTATAGTTGTATTTATTTATGGGATACAAAGTGATGTTATAATTTTTAAATACAATATGGAAAGATTAAGCTAATTAGTATCTCCATCACCTCAAATATTTGAGATTTCTCGGTGATGAGAATATTAGAAGAAATTCTCAGTGATACCAAAATGTACAGAACTCAATGATTAGCGATATTCATCATGCTGTGCAATTGATCTAAAAAAACAAAACTAAACTTATTCCTCCTGAGGCTTTGTACCTTTCGACTATCACCACCCCACTCTTTTCACTCCCCAGCCTCTGTAACTACCATTCTACCCACTGCTTCTGTGAGTTCAAATGTTTTAGGCTACACATAGAAGTGAGAACATGCAGTATTTGTCTTTCCGTCTGACTAATTTCACTTAGCGTAATGTCCTCCAATTCCATTCATGTTGTCACAAATGACAAAATTTCTTCTTTCTTTTGAGGCCGAATAGGACATATGCTAAATTTTCTTTTTAATTCATTAAACACACATCTATTGAGCACCTAGCACTAGCTGGGCCTACTATCTACTTGTAACACAAGTTCCTTGCCCTAGAGAGGCATGTTTGGCTTAGAGAAGCACAATCTCCAGCCAACAACTGCAGTCTCCACTTTAAGGACAATAATCAATATGTGCCAAAGAGTTGAGAGCACAAGAAGAGGGTGCGGCCTGTCGAGGGAACCGGGGGAGGTTTCCCAGATAAGGTGCCTTTTGAGCAGGAATAGCAAAGCATGAGTGTTCTCAAGCTGACTGAGGGTGGAAAGTTGTAGGAGGCGGAGGTCACAGCAAGGCAACATCATAGCAGTGTGGTAGATGGGGGGTGCCCAGGGGATTGAGTGCTTCAGCAGCTGCAGAGGAGGGTACATGTGGAAGACTGTGAAAGATAAAAGCAGGAAGGCAGGTAGTATGACAGCACGTTGGGATGGGCATTCAGAGAGGCAGTAAGTGGGGAACAGGTGTCTGTTGGGGAAGGGGCAGGTGAGGAAATACGAGACATGGGTCTGCCAGTGCAAGCGACCACTTCATGCAACATGGTATTTGAGGTTATTATAAGCCACTGAATCATGTGAATACTTTTGTTCAGTGCTTTTTTTTCCCCTGACTATGGATTATGCTAATTTTGATGGAAAGAAGAGAAATACAAAGTTAAGAGTGGCCCTAAATCAGAGCTTTGGGATCTAGAAAATGAAAGTGTAGCCTGAGAAAACTAGGAGCCTGGGTGGAGAGCAAGCAAAAGCATTTCTCAGATGGATACAGCTACTGAAACACAGGGCAGGTAGCACAGAGACAAGTGGGCTATTCAATTGTCTATCAGGCATCCCTGGGGCTGGGTATCAGGCAAAAGATGAAAGGATGAGATGAGAAGACAAAATGATGCTGTCATTATTTCTGTATTTAAAAGTAATCAAATGGGCTGGGTGCAGTGGCCCATGCCTGTAATCCTGGCACTGTGGGAGGCTGACGAGGGTGGATCACTTGAGGTCAGGAGTTCAAGATCAGCCTGGCCAACATGGTGAAACATCGTCCTTACTAAAAATACAAAAATTAGTCGGGTGTGGTGGCATGCACCTCTTGTCCCAGCTACTTGGGAGGCAGGAGAATTGCTTGAGCAAAGGAGGCAGAAGTTGCAGTGAGCCCAGATCACACCACTGCACTCCAGCCTGGGTGAGAAAGCAACACTCTGTTTCAAAAAAAACAAAAACTAAAATTAAAAACAAAGCAATCAAATGCTTCAAGTGGAAACAAAACCACATTTAACTGACAATATAGCAATCACCACAACATAGTCTGAGAAAATCTTTTGATGACCAAGCACAATTAAATATTATTGGGACTTGGGACACTGTTACATTGTTCCTTGGATTAACAACCTTCCTTTGTGTAGAAATGTGTATCTTGTCAGTCAAGTTTTTCTTGCTCTGCCTGCTGAAGGGTGAAATAGACCGCAACATCTGTCTTTAAACTGTCAGATCTGGACTCTACCTGTAACCTTTCCCCATAGATAAGAAATGGGATTTCAAAAAAAAGGGAAAAAACCCTTTGTATCCTAAATTTGTCAAGAAATTGTTGTCAAGAATATACCTCTACCAGAGTACTTACAATATAGCAGGGAAAAAAAACTTAATAAGTTTTGATTTGGTGTTCTCTGGGACAAAGTTTCCAGTGGAATAATAGAGTGAAAAGATACTGCTTATGACAGCTTCCAATTAGACTTTGTGCAGTCATCATTAAATCAACAGAGCAAGTTTTTATTTTGGAGTTAGCATCTCCTACTTCCCTGTCACTATAGATAATCACTTCCAATGCATACACTTCAAATGGGAAAGCAGTGTCCAAGAACGATGGGGTAGAGATAAAGCTGGCAATGCAGGTTTCCAGGCAGCCCTCCTGCAGTGCAATAGTATCCCCAAAGCTACCATAAAGTTCAGTGTGGAGAGTCCAGACATGGGTGTCATACAGACCTGGGGTCCAGTATCAACTTTGTATCTTAATAATTCTAGGACATAATATGCACAAAACACTTGGCCCAATGCCTGGCACACAGTAGACCCTCAATGAATAGAAGCTGTTACTGCTGCAAAATTATTTTTTAAAGCATGAAAAGGAAAAGCCAGAGCTCAAATATAGCAGAACTCCTCACTTCAAAGGCACAAACATTCCTGTCAAATGTAAATTTTTCTGCCAACTTCTTATGAATATTTAGGGCTTAAAAGTTATCTAAAATGATCACTAGTACAATAAGGTGGTATTTTATATGTCATTTTCCAGCACTCTCCCCTTTTTCCTTATTATTCTTTATAAGGTAATCTAAAATGTAAGAGATTAGTAAATAGAAACTGTAGATTTTTGGTCTTACCATTTTTGTCTGCTCTCCTCAGTATCTGGAAAGGAAAAAGATAAAAAATTATCACCATTTTAAATAAATATTGCAGTGAACATTACACCTACACATAATTTATCTGTGATTAAATAAAATACATTCTAATTTTAAGGGTTTCCCAATTAAGATCTTTCTTTATAATATATAAAACATGAAAACAACCCAAGTGTCCATGGATAAACAAACCATGAATGGAGAAACAAACTGTGTTATAGCCATGCAATAGAATACTACTGAGCAATAAAAATGAATGAGCTATTGACACAACAACCTGGATAGATCTAAAACTAATTAGGCTGAGTAGAAAACCTAGGCACAAAAGAGTATCTACTTATAATTCCATGTATATAAAATTCTTAAAAATGTAAACTAATCTATAAGGACAGAAAGCAGATTAAGGTTCCTAGGAATGGGCAGGGCGGGGCAGGGAAGAGTGGATTACAAGAGGATGTGAGAAAACTTTTGCAGGTGATAGAGTTACTATCTTGATTGTGATAATGGTTTCATATATGTTAAAACTCATCAAGTTTACACTTCACATATGTATGCTTTAATGTAAGTCAACCATACCTCAATAAAACGGGGATTAAAAAAACATAAAAGAAAAATAATACACCATGGGTAAACAGTAGCCCACATGACTATACTATATCTACTTTATTTATATTTTATTAATCATATTATTTTGGATGCATTTAAATTGTCTTGATGTATAAGAAGTATTTGGCCATCTAGTATCTAGTACTCTTTAGTAATGATTTCTAATGTTCTCTGGGAAGCCAACCTTTCCTGCTTGCTTGGCTTACGTGCTCCAGTGTTGGGCAGAGCACTCATGTCTGAGAAACAGTGACTGCTCAGACATGAGCACATTAGGGCCAGTGAATGACAAACCATGGTTTTGCTTGAGTGGTTAGGAGAGGGACATACTATACCTTCTGCTGGCTTTGAACTTGGGAATATATAGTCAGTGCATTGCTATCAATCATTTTGTTATTGGATATATTGTAGGTTGAATTGTGTCCTCCAAAACCGAATGCTGAAGTACTAATGCACAGTATCTATGAATATAACTTTATCTGGAAATAAAGTTTCTTTTTGGGAGGAAAAGGCCTCAATAAAATCCAACATTCCTTCGTGATAAAAACTCTGAAAAACCTAGGCATCGAAGGAACATATCTCAAAATAATAAGAGCCATCTATTCCAAACCCACAGTCAACATCATACTGAACAGGCAAAAGCTGGAATCATTCCCCTGAATGCAAGAACTAGAACTGGAACTAGAACAAAACAAAGACACCCACTCTCACCACTCCTATTCAACATAGTACTGGAAGTCCTTGCCAGAGCAATCAGGCAAGAGAAAGAAATAAAAGGCATCCAAATAGGAAAATAAGAAGCCAAATTATCTCTCTTCACTGGTGAAATAATCTTATACCTAGAAAACTCTAAAGATTCCACCAAAAGGCTCCTGGAACTGATAAATGACTTCAATAAAGTTTCAAGACACAAAATAAAGGTACAAAAATCAGTAGTATATTCATGCAGCAATAAAATTCAAGCTGAGAGCCAAATCAGGAACACAATCCCATTTACAACAGCCATACAAAAAATAAAATACCTAGGAATACAGTTAACCAAATAAGGGAAAGACCTCCACAAGGAGAATTACAAAACACTGCAGAAAGAAATCAACAATGACACATACAAATGGAAAAACATTTCATGCTCATGAATTGGAAAAATAAATATTGTTAAAATGACCATACCACCCAAAGTAATGTATACATTCAATATTATTCCTATCAAACTACCAATGTCATTTTTTACAGAATTAGAAAAAACTGTTCTAAAATTTACATGGAACCAAAATGGAGCCCAAATAGCTAAAGCAATTCTAAAAAAAAAAAAAAAAAAAAAAAAAAGAGCAAAGCAGGAGGCATCACATTACCTGACTTCAAACTACACAATAAGGCTACAGCAACCAAAACAGCATGGTACTGGAACAACAACAACAACAAAACCCAGATGCAATAATGGAACAGAATAGAGAATACAGAAATAAAGCTTTACACCTACAACCATCTGATCTTCCGTGACATCAACAAAAATAAATAATAGGTAAAGGACTCCCTATTCAATAAATGGTGCTGGAATAACTAGTAGGTCACATGCAGAAGAATGAAACTGGAGCACTATCTAATACTATCGACAAAAATTAACTCAAGATGGATTAAAAATTTAGATATAAGACCTCACAATACAAAAATCCTATGAGAAAACCTAGAAAATATTATTCTGGACATTAAGAAATAATTGGCCTTGGAAAAACATTTAGGACTAAGTTCTCAAAAGCAATTGCATCAAAAACTAAAACTGACAAGTGGGAACTAATTAAACTAAAGGGCCAGAGCACAGGAAAAGAAACCATCAACAGAGTAAGCAGAGAATCTACAGAATGGGAGAAAATATTCACCAACTATGCATTCAACAAAGTACTAATATACAGAATCTGTAAGAAACTTATTTCAAAAAACAAAAACAACCCCATTAAGAAGTGGGCAAAAGATATGAACAGACACTTCTCAAAAGGAGACATACAAGTGGCCAAGAAACATATGAAAAAAAAAATGCTCATCATCACTAATCATCAGAGAATTGCAAATCAAAACCACAATATGCTATCATCTCACATCTGTCAGAATGGCTATTATCCAAAAGTTAAAAAACAAAAAAACACAACCAGATGCTGGAGCTGCTACAGAGAAAAGGGATTGCCCATACACAGTTGGTGGGGTTGTAAATTAGTCCATCTTGTGGAAAGTAGTTTGGAGATTTTTCAGAGAACTTAAAACAGAACTACCATTTGAGTCTGCAATCCCATTACTGGCTATATATCCAAAAGAAAATAAACCATTCTACCAAAAAGACACATGGCTCTCTTATGTTCATTGCAGCATTATTCACAATAGCAAAAATGCTAAATGAATCTAAATGCCCATCAATGGTCAACTGGATAAAGAAAATATGGTACATATACATCGTAGAACACTACACAGCCATAAGAAAGAACAAGATCATGTCCTTTGCAGTAATATGGATGCAACTGGAGGCCATTTTCCTGAGTGAATTAATGCAGAAGCAGAAAACCAAACACTGCATATTCTCACTTATAAGTGGGAGCTAAACATTGGGTACACATGAACATAAAGATGGCAGCAACACACACTAGGGACTAATGGAGGGAAGAGGTTGAGGGAAAAGGTTGGAAAACTAACTGTTGCATATTATGCTCACTACTTGGATGATGGTATCATTTGTACCCCAAATCTCGCCATCATGTGATATACCCATGTAAGAAATCTGCACATATGCCCCCTGAGTCTAAAATAAAAGTTTAGTTATAAAGGAAAAGAAATAGGATTTGCTTATATGATAATTACATTAACATAAAATATAACTGGACTGGGTGGTTCCTAAGTCCAATGACGGGGGACCTTATAAGGAGAGAAATTCAGAGATGCAGAAATAGATGGTAGAGACCATATGATCAAAGAGGCAGGTATTGGCATGGAGCAGCTGAAAGCTAAGGATGTCAAAGGACTGACAGGGGCTATCAGAAGCAGAAGAAGCGTGATACAGTTTCCCCTCTGGAGCTTTCCCAGGCAGCACCATCCTGCTAGCAGCTTGATTTTGCCCTTCTCACCTCCAGAACTGTGGAGAGTATATTCTATTGTGGTAGCTTGTTACAGCAGCCCTGGGAAATTAGTACAACATATAACCTGGAAAGAACGAACACCCAAAAAAGTAGTGTTCAGAGACTTAAAGAAGGCGGATCCAGATAGCACTCCCTGAGTCTCTGATTAAGCAATCTTGATGAGATGACCTCTGCTTTTTCATTACAGGAGCCAATAAATTATTTTCAAAAATAATCTCAAGACAGTTTGTATGATTTTTTTCTGCTAGCTGCAATAAAGTTAGCCCTGATAGGCATGCTAATAGAAAATGACCTGGATAACACACTACAGAGTTATGTTATATACAGTACCAAAGAGGATGTCCCACTAGCATATTGCAAAGACAAATTTTAATTACTTGGAAGGGACCTTGAGGATTTTTTTTTCTTAAGTAACTTGTAGTTATAGTTAAATAACCAGAGCTATTTTTATATTTAGATTGTCACTTTTTGCTGGCCAGCTTGAAACATGAGCAATCGTTTTTATTCCCAAGTTGTCTGTTTTACCTCTTTTTACTACAAAAACATTATCCTTCTTTCATTCTGCCGACTTCACGGAAATGAGGTACAGATAAATCTAATCATTGCCACAGTATGCTTTATTATAAGACACTAGTTTTACCACTAAAGATCTCACTCATGAAACTTTTCCAGAAACAGGTAGGTATCATCTAGACTTGCATGGAGAAGATGATGATCCTTCTTTTTACTAAATTGATGTAATTACTGCCGGAGGACTGCTTTCAATAGTAAGAGCTATGCTTAAAGCAAAATGAGACCCAGATTCTTTTTTCCTCTATAGAGGTAATTGCTAGTGGGGATTTTGAGGATTCATTCTTTCATCACAACCAGCTTCTTCCTGTCCTCTGCAACCACGGATCCCCAGCTGAGAGTCAGGGAGAAATGAAACACATCCTATTTCTTACTTTTGATACCTTCTAAGATTCTATTTCAAGCTGTATTTTGTCCTCAGGAATTCAAAGTAAACAAGAATAGGAATAATCATACACCACAGAGTTAGACCCAGGACTTCTGTTGATTTCATTTTATAAAGAACAATCTCAAGTAGCATTTAGCTTCTTTGAGATGAAATTAAAACAGCAGTTTTTGTTATTAAGACAGTTCTTTGTAACTAAATATGAACAGAACTGTCTCTGTTCCAAATTTTGTCTCTGAGTCCATGGGCTAATAAAAAAAACGTACTGCAGATGAGAAGCAAGCTCATTATGTTATGGTACCAGAATAATCTGTGTCAGCTAATCTTAAGGTTGCTACTACTAGATGGATGGTAAATAAATTTAAATATTATGGTCAGGCTCAAAATTTGAAGACAGGTAATACTGTGTTTTTGCTACAATTTCAAGATTGTCAAATAGATTCCTTTACATTAAAAATATTGATGGCTTCCACTAAAATTCCTTATTTATCACTTTCAGTTATTGAAGGAAGGTGTTAAAAGGCAAATGTTTTCTTTGAAGCATTAAAAAATGGACAAAATCATCATTTACTGAACTAATATTTCTCAGTGCCTCCTACCAGGCATCAGGTTAAGATTTGATAACGAGGTGAAATAATCCCTTTGTATATTCCTGAGAAACTGGAATATAAGGCAGGGACCCAAGACGCATCTAGAACATGGAGTCCCACCACCCAGGGAAGGCACAGTGGCTGAGTCAGGGTAGATGGGTTCGGACTTCCAGCAGGTAGTTTCGCTACTGGGCCACTAGTTGCCCTGAAACTGGATGTGAGGAAGCAGGTACTGTAAGATGGATGGAGAGATGGAATTAACACACATGTTCATCTTCTCAATTTTGCCTAGGGTTGGTCCAGTGTGGGCAGACCATTTTTAATGTATGATAGCAGTAAGACTAACTTTTACGTTTTTTTCTTTTTAAATATAATTATTTTGGCTGGGCACGGTGGCTCATGCCTGTAATCTAGCACTTTGGGAGATCGAGGAAGGTGATCCACCTGAGGTCAGGAGTTCGAGACCAGTCTTATCAGCATGGAGAAACCCCGTCTGCACTAAAAATACAAAATTAGGCAGGCATGGTGGCACATGCCTGTAATCCAAACTACTCAGGAGGCTGAGTCAGGAGAATCAGTTGAACCAGGGAGGTGGAGGTTGCAGTGAGCTGCAATGGAGCCATTGCACTTCAGCCTGGGCAACAAGAGAGAAACTGTCTCAAAAATAATAATACTTTTTTTAAGTTCCAGGGAACATGTGCAGGATGTCCAGGTTTGTTACATAGGTAAATGTGTGCCATGGTGGTTTGCTGCACCTATCAACCCATCACCTAGGTATTAAGTCCAGCATGCATTAAGTTGTTTTTTTTTGTTTTATGTTTGTTTGTTTCTAATTTCTGCTGGTTCCTATAACTACAAGAGTGACATTTGCCTTGCCAATGAGGGTAGACAATGATGGGGTTAACTGCCGTTTCCTGAATTGGATAATCTCACTCAAATGAGCAAGTGTGTATGTGTTTCAAGGTGAGATGGGTGGTGTGTGGCTATAACAGAGTTCACTCACAGAACCATTGCATCTGGAAGCCTCATGCTGCTTTGACAGTCCTCTGTCCATCTCACACGTCATATGCAGTAAGCATATGCAGGGTTTCAGATACTTCATTAGGTATCCTTGTGAAGAGAAACTAATTCTTCTTTTCACCAAGTTCCTGTCTACACACTGTATCTTGTGTTCAGAATGTACATGAGTGTGCATGCTTAGATGAAGGAAGGAAGGGAAGATAAGCAGTAAAGTCATTTCTCCCCTTCACAACCTCTCAGCCTCCCTCCCATTTCAGCCGTGAAGTGAGGAATAGTCACTTCTCTTCAAGTTGAAAATCAAAAGAAAACTGATGGGAAAGGAAAGTGGTATTGGGTGGGTGAAGTTGCAACTAATTTCATTTGGGAATTTATCTTGCTTTTGGGAGTGAGTTGAAGGTTGTTTTTCTCCCTTTGCAGAGTAGTGGAGTTGATTAATGTAATGACTCCAAAGAGGAGACATATACTATATGGACTAGTATTCCAAACTAGAGTTCTTCTCTGTTAGCTGGAATGCAGCAAGCTGGGAAATGATAGTCCACTGGTATAAAAGGAAAAGCAACAGTCATCCCCCGGGTCCCCTGTGTTGCCAGGACCCAGTTCAGTCCCTTTCCTGTGGCATGCTCTGTGCAAATGCTCGCTCCAGCCTCAATGTACTGGCATACCTTGGCATCAATGGTAGGTTTTCTAAGCCCCCAACAGGTATTCAAGAGTATTTATGATGAACTGAGATTTAATTCTGTCATATTCTAGCAAGACAGTTATATAAGTTAGATTTATGAAGAAATAGTCCCCGTATCAGTTTGTGGATTTAGCTACTGTTGCTGTTACTTATCCACTCAGTGTGGAACACTAAAATAACCATAATAATTTAAATTTTGGAACACTTTTTGTTTCCATTTTCTAGACTATGAACTCTTATTTCATACTCACAACAGAAGTAAGTATCATAGACATTACTGTTGCTGATTTGGAGAGGATAGTGAAGCAAAAGCCAAACAGTTGTGGCAAATCTGTCTCCGATTTTCTTGTTAAAATCTGTCTCTAGCTTCTAAACAGCTGGTCATGTGCATCATGTCATTAATTGTATCCTCAATAGCAGTTTACATCCTTTCTTAAATGATTGATTATTCCAGTGACATTGCAATAAAAAGCACTAGAAATCAAAGTTTTCCTCAAATTTGGAAATTATTTGTGTGACACAGAGGCCACACAGATAATTACTTGTTCCAGTTTGGAACAGGTAATATCTATCACCTATTTATTACAATATGAAGAGAATTTTAAAAGTAACTTCCTTGCTAGTGCCACTAGAATATATTAAATCTAATAAAGTGATGCATGTATATTTCATTTTATTTTGCTAGAAGCATATGATCCAGAAATGAATAATTCACAAATTCTTAAGTAACAAATCATTTTTCATATCACGTATTTCATCAGCGTTAGATTTTTCACAAAATAACTCAAAGAAAAGTGTAAACAAAATCTTTTCCATTTGAGACAAAATCCAATGGCAGGTGTTTTTTGTAGACTCTAGCATTTTACTGACAAGCATGTCAAAATCTCTCATATGGAATCAGTTTCATATTTTTATTTTTAAATCCCTGAAATATAAAAAAGCAAGAGCACCCTATTCATAGACTACAAGTTCTTTTAGTACAGGCACCTGATGCTGTTTGTTTACAGACTTGGAAACAATCATGCATAGATAATAAAAAACGAAATTTTAATTTTCTCTTTTTAAAAACATTGCCGTTGAACACTTAAGCTACGGCTGGTGTATGAGTCAGGAGGATGACTTTCCATTTGTATAGTTTTAATCCATTCATCTCCACACTATCACCAGGGTTTGTGAACTGCTTTTTAAAAAGCACAGGGAAGCACTTGATGTCGATGTGCAATGGAGTGAAGATCAGGTCAGAATGAATGGAGGCCCCACTTGTTCCCTTTCAGTCAACTTCATGGTTACTTGTCAGCCTCATAACTGACATGATTTCCATGGGCCCTGACTTTTCAGGTGTGTTGTAGTGCCCTTCTCTTCTCCCAGCTCACCACCTCAAGGGCTTTATGGCCCTAAACAGCAAAACTTGAAATAAGATCAGCCTGTTAAGCTATCAGCACCAATAACATCATCTGATTGGCCAAAGGCAGAGACAAATTCTCATGAAGGATAAGGTACTTCAACATCTGATTAAATGGCTCAATAGGAATCACCCACCTGAGATTTGGTGGGAAGGAGGTGACTATTCCTGAATGCCTGGATCTCCAATTGCAGCCACCAGGTGATTAGGGGTGAAGGCTGCCAGTACACACAGTTGAACCTTGCTTCTATCATTTGCCTCACAACAGGTTGAATTACTGATAGGAGTTTATTTCCCTAGAGTTAAAAATAATTCTGGCCAATCCATTCAAAATAAACTGAGGAGAGTTATTTGCATCTTCCTAGCCTCTTTATCTCTGCCTCACCATGATGATACTAATAATTTGATTTCCTCATATTCTCATCTCTCCATGAGCAAATGTATCTGGCCTCTGGCCCATCTCCCACTCATTTTCATTTTAATAAGAAAGGGTAACTCAGAGAAGGGTAGAAGATAGAGCACATAGCACTGCTCTATACCCTTTGCCATTTTCTATCATGCCTAAATAAGAAGCAGCCAGAATTGTCCCCACTGAGCTAGACACAACCTCGGGCAACAGCATGAATGTGACAACTGAGGGGCTGGGAGAGCCCTGAGCTGGGCAAGTAGCTGAGAGAAGCCCTGAAGCAGAGAAAAGAGATGGGCAACAGAGGGGAAAATGCAGAGAACAGAAACAGCAGGAAAGTGAGGAAAACAAAATCGAGAAATAAATAAGAAATAAAAGTGTCATAAAGATAGAAACCACGGCATATTGGAAGAAAAACAGCACAGAAAGAAAAGAAAGGATGTGATCAGATTAGAGTAATGAAGGCAGGCAGTCGATACCGAAGTAAGAAATAGGACCAAAGGGACAGTCAAAAGCTAGAATTGATGAAGATGACAATGGTAATTGCAACTTGGAGAGGTACAGAGAAGGAGAATATCAGGGAAGAAAAAGGGAACATAGAAAAGGTGGCAGTGACAAAAAGAATAATTATGAAAATGATCTTTCTCACCACTGTAGAAAGAAAAACAAATATGCTCAAAGTAATTGTTTTCCAAGGGGGCCTGGGGGAGGGTGGCGAGGGCCTCTCAATCTCTGCTGCTTCCCTCGCTGGGTTGCTTGAGCGCATCCATGAGGGTGGAGGCTGCAAATAGGGCGCATTAGAGATGAGTTGGGACAGTGTCCCCACCTCACCCCCGCACACCTTGCGCCCCTTTAAAATGTCCTATGCATGCAAATATTGATTGTTGTATTTGCAATAGTGTCCCTATGAAACCTAGCCTGTTGGAAAATCTAACTTTTGTAATTTTCTTAAGGGTTGTTAACCCACAAGCTGCAGGTCTGGGACAGCCCTAGCTGCAAATTAAGGGACAGTGGTTCTTCTTCATTTGCATCATTTGCATCGGTGGTATTTTCTGGAGGGAAAGGAGGTAGTTCTCGCCCGTGTTCTGGGAACAAAGCATTGGCTGGTCAGCACCTGAACGGAACCCCTTCCTTTGGGGAGGTGAAAAGAAAGATGCTGGGAAGCACCCGTCTAGCTCCCGCCGTCTGTACTTACGTCGAGGAAGATGGACATGCCCTTGGACAGCTGCAGGGCAGAGCTGAGCTCCTCCGAGGAGTTGTTGGAAGACGGCGATGTCTCCTGGGAATCCTCCATCCTCTGTAGCCCTGACCACTGCGGGCGGAGCGGGGCTAGGCGGATGCACCGGGCTCGACAAGGGCGCGGCCGCAGCTGCTGCTTTCGCTCCGGATCCCGGTGGATGTTCGCTCCCGGGCGCGCCTCCCTCCGCGCTCTGTGCGCGGGCTCCCCCTCCCTCCTCCAGCCTCTGCGCTCCCACGCGCTCCGACTCTCGCCTCTCCCTTCTCTCGGCTAACGGCGTCTGGATCCGTGTCATCCTCGCACTTAGCAACGCGTGGAGGGGAGCGGGCTCTGCCCCGCCAGCACGGCCATTGGCCACGGCTGGAGATAACCTGGGGGCCCCTGCCCACCCAACGACGGCCCCAAGTGCAGGGACTGAGGAGGGTTTTCGGAGAGAGAGAGGGGACTGGTGGCAGGGCGTTTGTCCTGAGCAGCCAAAGCGCAAAGTAAGGACGCCCCAGCCTCACTTCAGAGTGGATACCATAAGTAGGAAGGAATTCTGACAGGTTCTACCCGTTTTGCTTTTGGTCCCGGGGGCCTCTCTCCCTTACCCTTCCCAAAGGCAGAGGTGGGGATCATGGGTACCACCAAGCAGGGAGCAGCGGGTTTGGTGTTGGGATTGAGCCATTCCGTGTTATCTTGCGCTCTAAGAATTGACTAAACCTGTAAGCCTCAGTTTTCCTCCTCAGTAAAATGGTCATGGTGGTCTCACCACAGAGGGTTCTGAGGCTTACCTGTGGTGGTGTGGTGACAAAGGCAGTGCTATGAACTCTGCCCAGAGTAGGCTCCAAAGCATTTGCTCTGGGGCAAGGATTGTGAGGTAACGTTCAACAATGCAGTTTTCCAAAGTCAGGATAAAGACGCGGTCCTTATCTGTGTTTAACCATTTAAACCAGAGTAATAATTCCGTATGTGAGGGCTTCTTTGAAGCCTGTAAAAATAGGAAGTTGACCATAACTTTCATCAGGAAAGAGATCCAGTTTTTGGGCATCTAAAATGCATATGTGTCGGTTACAAACTTGAGCTATCTGGGAGGCAAAAAAGGAAGAGCCTTGTCTACACACAAGACTCTGCCTCTGCCAGTGGGAACCGATGGAGAGGATCCACCAGACCTCCTTTTTGTGTACTTCAGAGGAAAGTAAACATGTTCTTTCAATAAGACAAGCCCACAAACAACCAAAGTGCTGATCAACCTGTGCAAGTCTTAAAGGCATGTAAAATGTGCTATGGGTTTCTTAGGAGGGACGGTTACACTCTGGTTGTGGGGACCAAGAAGAGCTTCATATAAAAGGCAGTATATGAAATGGACCTTAAAAATCAGTAGATATTCCATACTTGATAAAAACAGAAAGAAAATACTTCCAGGCAGAGGGAACAGCATAAGCAAAGGCATGGCACCAGGGAAGCACATGGAAGCTGGAAGTAGCCTAGTGGGGACTCCTGTAAATATACAGAATCCCAGATCCTACCTGGGCTTTGCAAATCCCAATACTAAAGCCCTGACTAGTCCAGGAATCCAAGTCCCCCTCACTCTAATGGTTCATACACAGTTGCTCTGTAGCAGAGTCAGAACTAGGTGTGGCAAGTGAGGCACTTTGAGCACAAAATGTAAGGAAGCACATGCTCTCAGGCTCAACCTGCGCTCTCATGATCCTGAGAGCGACTTCCTTAAATTCTGCACTCTAAGTGTCTCATTCACTTCACCCAAGTCCTACTGCTGCTTTGTAGATGGGTGCTTAAAAATAAAATGAATCCAGTTGTTCTCAACTCTGCCTGTACATTGGAATCACCTGAGGTGTGTGGCAACTTTAAAATTTGCCCACAAATTCACTGACATTCTTCCTGTAGAGAAACGAGTCCCCTTTCCTTGAATCTGAAAGATCGTGATGGCTTCAATGAGTAAAATGGAACACAAGTGAAGCTAGGTGCATAAAAGCCTTTGCAATTCCACTTTTTACAGTGGATTTGCTCCTGAGTTCCTGAACTTCCATACAGGAAGTTTTTCTACCTTCAGCCACCATGCTTTGAGGAAGCCCAAGCAATGTGGAAAGGTATATGTAGACACCTGGCTTACAGGTCTAGCTAAGCTGAGCCTTTGCATTATTCCAGCCTCAACAGCGGGAATGTCCATAAGGAAGCCGCTGGATGACTCCAACCCCCAGGTCTTGGAGACATTCCTAGCCGTGTGAGTTGTCCCAGCCAAAACGCTGGACATCATGGAGTAAAGGCACACTGCCAGTGCTGTGCCCTGTCAGAACAGTTAGCCCACAGAATTGGGAGCATAATAAATGTATACTGTTTTATATAAATAAGCATTGGGGTGGTTGGATTTGTAACAACAGATAACCAAAATAAGGAACTAACCCTCCCGACACAAACACACACATATCAAACTTATGCCTGTGTTTCATCCTCAAATTCACTTCCAATTAGCATGTGGTGGACCCAGGGCATTAATGTTTGTTTGTTTGAAGATTTCCATGTGATTCTGATGTGCGGCAAGGATTAAGAATCACCAAATTTGTGCTGTACATACAGTACAGAAAAAAAGTAGAATAAAGTCTCAGAAAATAGGCAGAAGCTATAGGATGAAAATTTGTGAAGTCCAGGGATAGGACTAATTAGGCAGAGAGTTAGAGAAATTAAACTTAATCAGGGGAGAGATATTTATGGGAGCTGTTCTTCAGGAATATTCATCTGGCATTTTTATGTGCATTTTCCTAATTAACTGCAAATTTCTTTACCTGAACTGTGAGAATAGACCCTTCTCTTTGACAACTGTTAATCAAAATAAATACAAAATTATTTTTAAAAAGCATACTGGCCAACCCATCAAATGGGCACTGGACATTCAAATCACTGAAGGAGAAAAGCCAGGACAAGGAGGGGGCTATCAACCATGAACATCAAGTTACTGGATTTATCAAAATAATATGTTGTTTATCCCTGACTTGGATGAAGAATTGAATAGTTTTTTCTGCAGCAAGTGCAGTTTAAGTCTGACCCCTCTAACCCAAGTTGTAAAGGTTCCTCAAGCCCTCAAATTCAACCATGCAAGTGGTAATATTTTTATGCCAATCCCATGGTAACAAGAACAGGTAATAAAGGAGACTTTCTCTGATTACAAATGAAGAACAGGAGAATAATCAGCAGTCATGATTCAAAACCAGGAAGCTGTTTGTAACACTTCAGTAAAAACATTCCTTTGCCCTTCACTGACAATGAATTACGTTTTCTGTACCTGTGGCTTTGCTTATTTCTTCTAATGGTCCATCAAGAAGAAATATAAATTATTAAATAACCAACTGGTCATTATTTATTTTTATGATTCCTGTGTGAACACAGGAATACATTCTGCTCTAGCTGACTAATGGAAATGTAATGTTCACAGGAGGCTCTAGTAGAAATAGATGGCAATTAGATTCACATTTACAGACAAATTCAGTAGGCCCTACAAAGTGGCAACCAAACATATTTTTTATAGTTTTCTTTTTATCTAGACAGCATGCATTTTTGAAAAAAGTTTTCACACGTTTTCACGAAACACGGGTACTGCACTGCTGTGCACAGTATCAGTTGCAAACAGCAGACAACCAACTTGAGGGAGGAAATGCATCTTCTTTGTAGCAAGGGCCTAAAAAAAAAATAGAAATATAATTCTGATTCTAGCTCTCAGGCTTCCTGTGATAAGCCTTTGACACGAAGGTATTTCTAGCATTTCAGTAGATGATAGCTGTGTGGGAATATATTGTATTTCAATCCATCTCTGCCTCGTAGAAGAACTATTATCTAAACTATTTCAGATAGCTGGGAATCTATCTGATTTATATTTCAAATTCTAGGGAAGGTTATCCTTCCCTTTTGAGTAATGACTCAGAATCCTTTCAGTGAGGTTAGTGGACATTTTTGTCACCTTGGTAGCTTAGGATGTAAATCCCCTTCCTCTCTAAGTGCCTGTCCCCATGGTGCGGGTCCTGAATGGGGGCAGAACTCACCTCTTTTGCAGGGAAGGAAAAGATCCCTCTCTTCCCTGGTAGCTGGAGCACAGGCTGAGAGCTAGCTCAGCTGGTAGGACACTTCACTTGTGTTTTTAAATCTGAATCCAGGGATGTGCAGGGAAGTTTATTAATGGCAATAGACACTCACATTGTAGTGCTGAGTATGGCCACAGTGCCAGGGGAGCCCTGAAGAAGACTGAATCAATTGGATAATGGCACTCTATGATTTCAGCAGCCCTGTCCTCCAAGCTAGATCTCCAGGCTTCCTGCTGACTGAGAGACCTAGTGTCCTTCCAAAACTTTCTTTTCTGTTTTACCTAAGTCAAAGTTAGTTTTTTATGTTTGAACTCTGACAGATAAATCCAATCTAAATTTCTAGTGTTAAAGAAGGCCATTGTGAAGTCATTGGAAAAAAATGGTTAAAAAATTAATTCTTTTCAGACATTTATTGAGTGCTTGCTTCATTCCAGGCAACTGATGGGCAAGCTGTGGAAACAATGAAAAGGACTGGTCCTTGCCTTTACAGAACATACACAACTTAAAGAGACACTATTTTAATAGATCATTTTCATGCAGTGAGACAAGAGTAACTCCAGATGTTTTTGGTGAAGGTAAACACCAGATGAGGTAGGACAGAGGAAGGGACTCCTTCCCATGAGTACCTATTCTGTGTGGCCATTTATCTAACTGAAGAGGTCAAAAGCAGGACTCAGGAGTAGTAAGTGCCATGGGTTGAAATTATTAACTGATAATGGTGATTTTCTTATGAGCTATTTTACCCTGAAGATAAAATTTTTCTCGTATGCCACTGTGTGAGTGAAATAAAACCCCCATCTAGTGGCTTCCTCAACTTAATGCTCTTTCATCTTGAAAAAGAAAAGAAAAAGAAAAGAAAAGAAAAGAAAAGAAATCCTCAGTGCCTAGTATCCTCCCTTAACCCTATGTGTTGTTACAGTTAGTATTCCCTATCTTTATCTTTCTCATCTGTAAAGACAAGAATGAGTTATTGTGGGCAGAGTTTAGTAAACGGTAGGTGCAGAGAAAGAGCTCAACAGTTAATAATTGTTTTCCCAGCTGTTAAGAACAGACTTCATATAAGGTACATGGTAGAGTACGGTGTCTGGAACACTGGGGTTGGTAAGCAGTGGTGGTTACTATGACCATGACATTGCTGTCTATAGCCCAAGGCACTGCAGATTTTCCACTCCTTCTTGAAACTCTTGCTTTTTCTTTCTGATCATGTTC